CCTGAGACAGAGGCAGTGTGTCCTGAGGCTCGGACACTGTCCGGGTGCCAACCCCTACCTAGAAACCCGGCTCACTGGATCTCGCCAGTCGACAGGGCCACTGTAATTTAGGGCTCTGGACTGGAGTGGCCAGTACAAGGAGGGCCATGGGATTGGGCTGTGATGCCGAAAACTGCACACTTGACACGTGGGGGCCTAGACACAGGCAGTTGTCTAGAGACCCCCCGCCCAATGGCTAATTGGCCAGCTGCGTTCCCTGCAAGAGTCCCAGGGGCACACCTGTCCTGCCTCTCCTCTAGCTGAGAGCCCACGGGGGCAGGCACTTTGGCTGTGGGGCCCCAAAACTCCCATCCAGACGCTCTTAGATCCGAACCTGTGCACAATGCCTGCGTGTGGCCGGACTTCTGTGCCTCAGTTCCCCAAACCCAGGAGCAAATCTGCCCTGTGCTTGAGCCTCACCAGAGTAAGAGAGCACAGAACAGGGCGGGGCGCGCCGAGCCCAGGGGGAGTGGCCCCCAGCACCGCGCTCGCAGCTCCCGGGGGCGGACTCCCACCCTCTGCGCGAGACCGAGGCTCGGGCGCCGCCCACCCCGAGGCCCCGCCCCCAGGCCCGCCGTCTCCACGCCGCGGGGCCCCGGGGGCGGGGCCCGCTCCAGACGGGTATTTAAGCGAGGAGAGCAAACAGGGCGTCTCGCCCAGGACCTGCCAAGTCAGTGGGCAGGACAGCCCGGGAGGCCAAAAATAAAACGCTGGTGAGGGTCACCCTGCTCTCGCGGGCAGGGCGCGTTTTGCAGCCCGTGCAGAACACTCAGAATCACGTTGTTGTTGGAGGACAGCCCTCGGTCCCTGAGTGTCAGCCTCCCGGTTGGAAGGGAGCAGGGCCCTGATTGTGGGCAGTGAGTAATGGTGACTCAGGGAAATTCACAAGGACACAGGGAACACCCCCAAAGTCATCTGGGGACGTGCCCTGGTTCCCCCTGCCGGTGGGGGAGCCAGGAATTCTGGTCCTCATAGTAAAGGAGGAATTTTTAAAGATTTTTTTTTTTTTGGAACTTTAGCAGAATTCTGTGGGAGGAAGCATTAGGTTTTGGGTGCTTTTTGGGGGAAATTACTCAAATTTTTTCCCTTTTATATCTACTTATAAATTAACTCCTCCTGGCGCCATGGTGCACGCCTTTAATCCCAGCAGCTTGGGAGGCTGAGGCAGGAGGATTGTGAGTTCAAAGCCAGCCTCAGCAATTTAGCGAGGCCCCCTCAGCAACTCAGTGAGACCCTGTCTCTAAAAATAAATAAATAAATAAAATACAAAAAAGGGCAGGGGATGTGGCTCAGTGGTCAAGTGCCCCTGAGTTCAATCCCTGTTATCTATTGATAATAACTCCTTTTCTATATTAGCTCCAAATTATATTTGTCCCTATTTTAATGGGTATTCGTTACCTTGTATCTTGAACAATACTCCAAAAGCAAATAATGACAGGAATAACAGGACATTGATTCAGCCCTTACAACATGTCAGGTACTGGTACGTGTGTTTTTGTTCCATCAGACCCCAAGTTCTGTCAATCATTAGCTATGGCATTATTGATGTACCACTAGAGTGCTGTCCATTAACCGGTCATGTGTCGGTGATTTTTCTTTTTTTCCTGGTACCAGGGATCGAACCTAGGGGAGGTTAATCACTGAGCCACATCCCCAGTCCTTTTATTTTTTTTATTTGAGACAGGGTCTCACCAAGTTGCCCAGGCTAGACTTGAAGCTGGGATCTTCCTGCCTCAGCCTCCTGAGTCTGGTATTACAGGTGTACACCAGCACTTCCCAGCATGCCAGTGGTTTTTAAGATTCCCCTTGATTTCAGAAATTTTAGAATGAGAATCAAATTTAATCATCGTGGAGCCCATGAAATGCAGTGACTAGAAATGCAGTGACTAGTTCTCATCCTTAGTCTTACCTTATAGATGGGTAAACCGAGGAAGAGAGAGGCTGAGGAAATCTGCCCAATGTTGCATAGAGGGGGTGGGATCAAACCCATAGGGGGCTCCAAGGCCTGAGCTTATAGTCCCTGTGCTACCTTGTTGTGCCCAAGGCTTCCCTCCACAGGCACCACATCAGCAAGGCCCAGCACAGTGGAGCACTGCTGTAATCCCAGCAGCTCGGGAGGCTGAGGCAGGAGGATGACAAATTCAAAGCCAGCCTCAGCGACTTAGTGAGACTCTAGCAATTCAGCCAGACGCTGTCTCTCAATAAGATATTTTAACAGGACTGGTGGCCACCAGGTTCTTCTGCAGTCCCTTCCAAAAACCGCTCCTAGATCTTGCGGGTCCTGCCACTTCCAGGAGTTGGCCCCTAGAGTCTAACCTTGCTCCATTCTTCCTTGGTCCTGCTAGGTCTTTTGCAGTAAGTTAGTCTGGGAGTGTCGCCTTCTCCAACCCTCCCCACCCCAACACACACACCCCTGACTTGGAGTCACCTTCTAAAACATGATTCTGATCTTGTCACTCTGCTCAAGAACCTCCGAGGGCTCTGCGTCCTCATGGGCATTCACACACTCACTCATCTGGGCACCCATGCCGCGGCAGGCTCTGCGCTGGACTTGGACGATGTAAATCCCCAACACGGTCCCCACCCCACGAATGCCATGGTCTCACAGAGAAGCCAGAACCCTCAGTGGACAATTCTGACACCATAAAAAATGCGTCATATGCTGGGCCTATGGTGGCATCTGTGAGGAGCACCTGCTCTGGAGACTCCAGGACCAGTTGGGAAGAAATTGGTGTCCAAGTCGAGATCTGCAGAATGAGTGAGGATGCACAGGGGAAGGACCAGAGCACAGAGGGACAGCATGTGCAAAGGCCCAGAGTAGAGAGTGGGGCAGAGTCCTGAGCGTCCACGGGGTGTGGTCAAGAGGAGCCTGCAGGGACCCCCGGGTGGGGTGGGCGGAGCTTTTTCAGCTCCAGCTGTTTCTTCCCCCTCCCACAGAAGTTCTCTGTAGCAGGTGCTTGCTCTCCAGACAGCCTGGGTCCTCTTCATACTCTTCACAGCCAGCTTCCCTCTGCCACCCGGACCCTGCTGGAGGGTCCCCTCCCAGGGAGATCACCCCTGACCCATGAGTTAGCTCGAGCTTTGAGCTGGGCCGAGAAGGCTGGGAACTGGTCTTGGGTTCAACTGGGGGAACCTGGGAACATTTTTACCAAATTCAAGACAAAATTGTTACAAAGACCGCCTGGACCCGCGCAGGGCCCCTCCTGCCTCTCTGCCCTAGCTTCTGCCCCTCCCCTTGCCCACTTGCTTCAGCTCAGACAGGGTCTCCGCACTGCTCCTGAAGCGTCCTCCCCACAGGGAGGCGTTTGCCTGCACAGCGCCCACCCTCTTCAAGAGTTTCTCGGACACTGCGCCGTGGCGCATGCCCGTTACCCCAGGGGGCTGAGGCAGGAGGATCAAAAGTTCAAGGCCAGCCTCAGCAATTTAGGTGAAGCCCTTAGCAATGTAGTGAGACCCTGTCTCAAAAATAAAAAATAAAAAGGGCTGGGATGTGGCTCCATGGTATAGCTCCCGCAGATTCAATCCCCAGTTAAAAAAAAAAAAAAGCCGGGTGCGGTGGCACACCCCTTAATCCCAGTGCCTTGGGAGGCTGAGACAGGAGGATCTCTGAGTTCAAAGCCAGCCTCAGCAAAAGCAAGGCGCTGAGCAACTCAGTGAGACCCTGTCTCTAAGTAAAATACAAGGGCTGGGGATGTGGCTCAAGCAGTAGCGCGCTCGCCTGGCATGTGTGCGGCCTGGGTTCGATCCTCAGCACCACATACAAACAAAGATGTTGTGTCCGCCAAAAAGCGAAAAATAAATATTGAATCTCTGTCTCTCTCTCTCTCTCTCTCTCTCTCTCTGTCCCTCTCTCTTCTCTCTCTCTCTCTCTTTAAAAAAAATAAATAAATAAATAAATAAATAAAATACAAAACAGGGCTGGGGATGTGGCTCAGTGGTCAAGTGTAACTGACTTTCCCCACAAGAATGTGGGTCCCAGGAGGGCAGGATTTGGGTCTGCCTGGCTCACTCTGTATCCCCAGCACCCCTCACAATGGCTGGCATCGAGTAGGTGTGCAATAAATACTTGTTGGTTGAGTGAAAGAATTCTGAGTTCTGACTGTGCTCTTGGCCAGCCCTGCCCTGGGCACCACGGAGGAGGGAGAGCAAGAGGATCGAGGTCCCAGCCCTCCAAGCGTGCCTGCCCAGCTGGTTCCAGCACAGTGGGACAGGTCTCCGACAGCCAGGTGAGTCCTGGGTGAATCACCGCTAATGAGACGGTGAGAGCCACGCCAAGCGGCTTCCCACACAGGCAGCCGACAGGTCACTGCCTGTCGCCAGGAAACTCCTCAGTAAGGATTGAGCAGGACCCTGGGCTGGGTGGAGGAAGTGTCCTCCTCCTCTGGAGACCGACCCATTCCTGAGGACTGAGTGGTTCACCTGGGCTCTCCACGCCCCCAGGCCTTGGCAGGACTCTGGTTTCTCAACCTTGGCCCTGAGATCTTCCTAAAAGGAGTTTCGCTCACTCGGCCCACGCCCCTCCTTGCCAGGGCCTGTTTGTCAACTAGCCCTCTCTGAGTCCCTGGGACGACAGAGGGAAGACAGCTGAGTCTGGCCAGCGCTAGGACCCTCCACGGACCAGCGGCCTGCAGGAGGGTCCATCAGTCAGTTCATTAAGTGTAGGGATAGGATCAATGGTGGGGTGACCTCCACCACCACGGTACTCCTGCCTGGTTGGAGCCCAGGGCCCATGAGGGCGCCTGCCCGAGCCCAGGCCAGCTGACCATGCCAGGGCAGGGCCTCTTACCCTCATCTGCAGCACGCGGCAGAGTCTCCTGCTCTGTGGGTGGCTGCAGGGCTGAGATGAGATCATGGACACACAGAGCAAGGAACGCAGGTGGGTCCCCAGGCCTCACCCCGCAGCCCAGGGCATGTGGCGAGGGCAAGCAGCAGATGCCCGGGAAGAGGCTGGCCAGGTCCCAGTCCCCTGGTGACCTTGGCCAATGCAGAGTGTCTCCCGCCCCCTCAGGTGGGGCACTTGAGGCCCTCCCTCCCCAGAACCAAACAGCCCAAGACTAAAGTTGGAGTTGTTTGTGTCTATAGCAAAGACGGTCAGCCATAGCTCAGTGTCAAGGGCTGCTGTCATCCCAGGAGGGGACCGACATGGAAACACCAGCAGGCCCTGGGCACACAGGCTTTTCTCTATGGGACTCTCTGGGGTCAAGGAAGGAGTGTCGCCCCGGCAAGACTGAGGTCCCTGCAGCCTCATGGAGGGGCTGGACGTGGGCAAGACTCCTCTGGCCTATGTTTGGCATCGAATCCTCACTGGCCAGGCGCAGTGATGCCCACAGCACAGATATCGTCACGCCCATTTTATAGATGATAAAGGCTTAAAGCGGTGAGCGACGTGTCCTAGGTCACTTGACGGCGAGTGGCAGGGGTGCCTCTGAATCTCCACCCTGGGCTGTGGTCTCTTGCGCCCGCCTTGAGTTCCTTGCTCTCTTCATCTGTACGGCAGACGTTACACGGTGCTTACCCCATGCCAGGCACAGCCTACCAGCTGGGGACCTAGAGGTATCAGGCAGCGTCTGGAGGGGAGTCACAACAGGCACCATTCATTCAGCTATCCCTTCTGCAGTGTTCCCTGAGCACCTACTGTGAACCTGCAGTCTACCAGGTGCTGGGATCCAGAAGCCAACAACATAGACTGCTGCCCTCACGGAGGCTTTCTTCTCCTGGGGAAGGCAGATAGTAATCCAATCAGGGAGCAGTGTTCTGCAGAAACACCACTGAGGTAAGAGAACAAACAGGAGTCAGGGTGCTATTTTAGAGGGGGTGCTGAAGGAGGGCCTTTCCAAAATATTTGCTTGTGGTTATGTATAACTTTCAAACAGAAGAGCCCTGTAAATGTCTGAGGAAACAAAGGTGGGGGTGGGGGCAACATGTGCAAAGGCCCTGTGGCAGGAATGTGCTTGGAGGTGCTTTGAGGGAAGAAGGGAATCTAGTAGGGAAGAGCAGTGGCGGTGAGTTAGACTGGTAGGAAGGAGGCAATGGGAGTGGGGAGGCACAGATCCTAGAGGCTTGTAGTTCAAGGTAAGGTCTTTACCCCACCCCTCACTCCAAGTGGGATGGGAAAGGCTGGAAGATTTTTGAGCTGAGAATTGATCTGAGCTGACCTTGGGTCCCCCCCCCCTTTTTTTCCCCTCAGTAGTGCCAGAGATGGAACCCAGGGCCTTGCACACGTTAGGCAAATGCTCTGCCCCTGAGCTACACCCCAGCCCTTGAGCTAGGTTTTAAAAGAATTGCTTTGATCGCTTCTTGGCCTCTGGCTAGGATCAAGTGTAGTAAAACAGTCACTCTGGTGCTGTGGAGGCTTTAAGGGGGCAGGGGTCTGGGAGAGGCAATGAGCTATCGGTGGTCGGTGGTCGTGGTGGCCAGGGAAGGAGAGCTTCATGGAGGATGTATTCTGGAGCACTGGGAATGGGAGCCAGGGGTGCTCTGCCGCTGACCTGCATCCCTAGGCCCCCCACCCCCACTTTTTAATTTTTATTTTTACACAGGGTCCTGCTAACTTGCCCACGTTGGCCTCAAACTGAGATTACAGCCGTGCCCCTGGCATCCAGCAGGAGGTATTTTGAAGGTAGTCCCAGGCTGACCGTGGGGTAGGGGAGGGTGAGGGGTCAAGACAATCTGGGCTCCAAGAAGAGGAGGTCGACTCTGCCCAGGTTTGATGTGAGTTGAGCCCAGCAGACTGCCACCACACTCCCACCCTGGCTGGTACCATCTACCAGTGCAGCCTTTTTGGAAAGTGTTAATGCCCTTTGACCAGTGAGTCCCCTTCTAGAAAGTTCTCCTGAGCAAGCCATCAGAAATGAAGGAAGCACCCGGCCTCCTGCCTTCACTGCAGAGTTATTGAGAAGAGCTAAATAAATAAATAAACAGCCTGCGGTCCAACAGCTAGGACCTGTTTGAACCAAGTGGACCCATCCTTGAACCTTGCACTTGACAGATTCAGGTTTTGTGTGTGGGCGGGCGTGGGGGAGGGTACTGGGGATTGAACTCAGGGGCACTCAACCACTGAGCCACATGCCCAGACCTACTTTGTATTTTATTCAGTGACAGGGTCTCACTGAGTTGCTTAGGACCTCACTTTTGCTGAGGCTGGCTTTGAACTTGTGATCCTCTTGTCGCAGCTCAGCTGCTGGGATTACAGGTGTGCACTACTGTGCCCAACCTCAGGTTTCATGTTTCTTTCTTTTTTTTTTTTTAATATTTATCTTTTAGTTTTAAGTGGACACAATATCTTTATTTTACATTTACGTGGAGCTGAGGATAGAACCCAATGCCTCATGCATGGTAGGCGAGTGCTCTACCACTGAGCCACAATCCGAGCCCCAGATTCATGTTTCTTAAGAGGGTTTTTTGGGTTTTGTTTCTGGTGCTGGGGATTGAACCCAGGGGTGCTGTACCACTGAGCTACATCCCAACCCTTCTTACTTTGAATTTTGTGGCCGAATTATTATCATTATTATTGCAGAGCTGAGGATTGAACCCCTGCTAAACAAGTGCTCTACCACTGAGCAACACCCCCAGCCCCTTGAGACAGAGTCTTGCCAAATTGCTGAGGCTGACCTTGAACTCAAAATTCCCCTGCCACAGCCTCCCAAGTAGCAGGGATTATAGGTACGCACACAGAACCCAGCTCTCCCAAGAGTTTTAATGTCAAAGGACAAGACTTATGCTACAATGTCAAGTGGATGCAATATTTTGCAGAGGCAGACACATATACAGAAAAGAAATACACTAAACTCTCCCCCCTTTTTTTCATTGCCAGGGATCAAAGCCCGGGTGTCCAGCATGCCGGGCAAAGGTTCTACCAGAGCTGCACTCCCAGCCCAGAAAAAAACTAACCACGATTTTCTCCGGATCTTGGGTCACTATCATTTTCTTTTTTACACTTTTCTGCATTGTATTGATGTTCTAAGATGGCCTCGAGTTACCTTTCTGACAGTGTGATTAAAATCTCGTTTTAAAAAAGGAAAGAGAGGAAATGTGAGTTCCCAGAAGCGGAGGCGCTGCCGAGGCCAGGCAGGAACGAGAACCGACCAGCCCATCTCTTCCAGGGAAAGCTGCGGCCACGTGGACTGAGGCAGTCCCCGCCGGCCCGCGCCCTGGTTACCCCCCCCCAGGACTGCAGGCGCCCGGCGGGGCGGGGCGGGAACAGTTGCTGCAGGACAGAGCGAGCTCCACGTGGCCCTCCTTCTCCCCTTCCTGCCGCCTAGGCCGAGCATTGGCTGTCTCCAGACCCCTGCAGCCTTGGAGTGGCCCCCCATCTCCTCGGCCTCCATTCTGTCCTTGTGGGAGGCCCTACTCGTGAATGGAGTGTCTCCCCTGACTTGATTATAAAAATCGTGATTCCCAAAGTGGTCCCCTGGAGAAGCAGCAGGAGCAACACCTTCCCAGGTCCCGCCCCAGGCCGAGGGGGTCTGGGTCTCTGGAGGTGGGGCCGGCGACTGTCTGCCTGTGATATTGGGGGTCAAACTCAGGGCTTCACACCTACTAGGCAAGTGCTCCACCCTCAGCGGCATCCCCAGCCCCTTTATTTTGGTACAGTAGTTCTCTTAGTGGCCCAGGCTGGTCTCGAACTTGTGATCCTTCTTGCCTCAGTTTCCCGATGTCACTGGGATGACAACCCGCTTGGAACCCATGCCCTTAACCTCTGCTCTGCAGCTGCATCCGCCGGCTGCCCTGCTGGGTCCGGCTCAGGGCTAGCGCAGACTGCACAGGCAGGCCTTGAACTGGAGTTGGGGCACGGCCGCGCCGGAGCCCTGTCTGCAAGGTTGGGAAAAAACAGACTGACTCCCCAGGAGACCCAGGCAGCCCAGGTTCCCTGTGGGATGAGGGAGGTGGGCTGCGTGAGCCTGCAGAGGCCTCTGCAGTCCTGGTAGCCGGCGGTGGTGTGGGTGGACGAGCACCGCAGAGGCGGGGCGCAGCGCCACCTGCTGGCCAGAAATCGTCATTGGTGACGCCCGGGGACAAATGCACGGACCTACCGAGGCACATCTCAGGATCACCATGGCAGGCGGCAGCACGTGTCTCCTCCCGCTGCACGCGGGCGTACTTGTCCACACGTGGATGTCTGAGCCTGTGGACACGTGGGGCCCTCAGCCACAAGACTTGGTAGCACCAAATTCTCTCATTTATTCATTTGTTCCCTTATCAAATGTTCTTTGAGATATGCCAAGCCTACACAGCTGTCACCAGGGAGCCTCCAGGCAGGGTGAGGGTCGTGAGACTCGGTAATCACAAGGTGAAATGGATTAGGGTCCCGAGAGGGATGTACCCCATGAGGTCACGGAGGCACCCCAACCCATCCAGACCGGGGTTGGAGCAGGGAATCCTTCCCCAGGGAATCCTGGTCTCAGACTGATCAGGAGATGGCTGGGGCAAGGGGCAAGGGCCAGCCAGAGCCAAGCCTGCAGGGAGAGCTGGGAGGGAGACCCCAGCTCCTGCAAAGGGTCCTGCACAAGCTGCAGAGTCTGGACTCTGTCCCCACAGGTGGTGGCCAGATTCTGGTGTGACACTATCCCGACGCATTTGTACCAAAGCTTAGGACTCAGGATCCAAGGGTCTGTCAGTCCCTTGGGGTGCTGGGCCTTGGATGTGATGTGTCCCTGTGACCTGTTCCTCCTGGCTACAGCAGCTGTCCTTGGATATGTCCTTGGTGAGGCGCCCCAAACCCTAGAGACAGGCCTGTTTCCAGTCTAGCAGTGACCAGAGTGGACAGCCGTCCCTGCAGCCCTCCCTGCCAAGTCAGGCATCCCCATGTGCCCAGCTGATGCCCTGTTTTCAGTTCACGAGGGTGTCCGAGACAGCTCCAGGGTACAGCTCCCACCCGGTCCCTCCAAGGAGAGTCAGTGCCTCTCCGAGGGGTGGGAGCTGGGCGCTTTGATGGGTGGGAGATAGAGCTGGGGAGTCCCTGACGCTGAACACAGGACCATCCTGGCTGGTGGGTACTAGGAAGGGACCTTGGGCAGCACAGGGCCAGGGGGGCAGCACGAAGCCCCTCTGAAGAGGAGTTGACTGCTTCCCTGTTCTGCCTGCGGCTGAGGTGAAGGCTTTGGCAATGGCTGATCCTCCCCCTGCCTGGCCTCTAGCCTGGTCCTCCACTTGCGGTTTTCCTCAGTGGCTCAGTGGTGGCGGCTTCCGAGAAGACCCACCAAGACTTTCCTGTCAGGGCAACTCCAAGTTCCTCTTAGCGAGGAAGGGGAAGTGGTGGAGTTTCTCCGGAGGGCTTTCCGTTTCGTTCTAAGAAGCCAAGGTGTCCCAACCCAGGGCTGGGGCAGAGCCCAGGCTTCAAGGAGAAGTTCAGCTGCAGGGGCTTTCCCACCCAGGGTCAGCCGCAGCTCATTCGCCAGGGCCCACGGTGGACATTCCAGGCAAGGAAACAAAAGACCCGCGGCTCTGGAGGCCCCATCCGGCCTCCCTTTCTCTGCCCCCTTACGCCACCAACACACGCGCACACGTGCAGGAAGTGTGGCCTGCCCTCCGTCAGGGGCATCCCGCGTGGAAAGCGCTCTTCCTGCCAGCATGGTGGCGCACACCTGGAATCCCAGGGACTCGGGAAGCTAAGGCAGAAGAGTTCAAGTTTAAGGTCAGCCTGGGCACCTTAGTGAGACCCTGTCTCAAAATAAAAAAATAAAATAAAAAAGACTGGGGATGTAGCTCAAGGGTAGAGCACCCCTGGGTTCCATCTCCAGCACAGGAAAAAAAGAAAAAAAAACCCACTTGCTTGGGGGTAATGACCTTCCATGCTCAGAACAATAGCCACCATTGATTGTGGGCGCTCACTGTGTGCCATGTTCCGTGCCAAGCACTTTGCATGAATTTCCTCCTCTGATCCTCACGATGATCCCAAGGGGGAAGATACAATCAGTATCCTTCAAGTCAAGCCACCTGTCTGGCTTGTCCTTCCTAGGAGACCTCTTCGCAGAAAAGTGGGAGAATATTGGACCTTCACAGGAGGTGCCTGGGAAGGTCTGGTCCTCGCTTTCCCACGGTGCGCGAAGCCAGCTGTGGAGAAGAGCCGGGCTCCGGTCATGGCTGTCCTCGTCCCACTCAGGCAGCCCCAGCCCTCCCCAGGGCATTTTGAATTCTCGTCACCTTTTCTATTTTCTGTTTTTCTCCCACAACATTATTTTAGGGCTTCTGCTATGCTAACACATGTTTTGGGGACAGTGGGGGATTCCCCAAAACCATGATGCTGTTCAGTTCAAAAACATTTGCCTGAAGGTCCACAGCTGGGTGACTCACGCTGCTGAGGGGGTAAGAAAACTCACAGCTGCAGCGGGGAGAGGCTGGCCCAACCAAAGGGGGGACCCTTACAGGGTGGCCGGTTTGAGTAAATAAAAATACAGGAAGTCCAGCTAATTTTGAATTTCAGACGAACAACTCCACTTGGAACATCTGGAAGCTTCAAGTTTATCTGTTAGCCAGGTGTGGTGGCACACGCCTGAACTCCCAGCTACTGGGGAGGCTTCAACAGGAGGATCTCAAGTTAAAGGCTGGTCTTGTGACTTACTGAAAACTTGTCTCAAAAATTAAAAAAAAAAAAGTTATTTGTTGTCTATCGGAAATTCAAATTTAACTGGTAACCTGTATTTTTTCTGGCAGCCCGAGATTCTCTCTGCACCTGGAGCAGAGCCATGGCCTTTCCTCTGGCCTCAGCAAAGTGCTGCTGAGAGAGAGACAGCAGGCTGACTGGGATGACCATGAACCTGGGAGTCTCAGGGATCAGGGAAGGGTGGAGAGACACCCCGCCCTGGGGTTCTACCTGAGCAATCAAAGGAGCTCAGCCCAGGGCAGAGTTCATGTTCAAATTCCAAGAGAAATGCAAGGGTGCTCTTGAAGGTCACCCTGCCTTCTCTAGGCCTCGGTTTTCTCAGCTTGGCAATGGGGAGAAGGTTTGGATTTGGCAATGGCTAGTGAGCCTCCTAGCCCTTGGTTTTTCTGGTCCTGTGGACAAGAAGCAAGAGGTAAGAGTCAACCAAGGATGGAGTTTACAGAGGAAAGAGCTGTCCCTGCCACCTGCATCGGCCGAAGGAGGTGGGGCCTTGCCCTGGACCCTGGGTACTTTGGAGGCTCCCCTTGGGCCAGGAGTATAGTTTGTGCTGGGACCTCCTTGGAAGGGATCCTGGGAACGTCTCTGTGGGTCACAGGGCCCCAAGCCATACACAGCCATAAATACCTCCCAAACTAGAAAAGTATATAGTCAGAATGAAATTATTAAATGCCCACCAAATGTTAACCAGGCAATTGCAACCCAGCTCTTACAGTCGTGTAAACTGAACGTGATACGCTGTGTACCAGTGTCCACTCTATGCTCTGAACATGGCTTGCTCCTGTACCACCCCAACTGATTTTTAAAATGGGCGTGGGTTTCTTTCTCCTCCTCTCTCCCTGCTCCTCCCTAATCTCTCCCCCTCCCTCATCTCAGGGGAACAGGATTACCTTTCTTCCCCATCCTAGGCAGAGTTATCTGTCCTTGAGCACACACCCACCACAGGGACAAGTAACTCAAACTTTGGGGACAGCACCAGATCTCAGAAATGACTATCTCCCAAATTAACTAGTGAATTCCAACTCTGGACAGAGAACACACGGAATGTAGCCTCTGAATCACCTCTTTAAAAGCCCCCTGTTCCTGCTGATGGGCAGAATCACAGCCTCTGGGACAGGAGTCCCCTGTGTTTCTCCTTTACTAACAAAGCAATAAAACTTCTTTTTCTCAAAATAATGTCCTTGTTATTGGATTGGCAAGGGGGACAAGGACCAAGCATTCAGCAACAGGTTCACTTTAATATAATTGACACCTTGAAGCCTGTGACCTGAGCATCTAGAAGCTCAGGGCCTTACAGTCTCTTGGACACACCAGCAGCCATCTTCCAGGTGTGATTGTTGGTACCCAAATCTCTGGGGATGGAGAGAACCGGGAGACAGGGCGGGCCAGGGCCTCAGGCCAGGCTGCAGGTCCACATGGGGAGCTGGGGGCCACATCAGGAGCCGCCCTGGGTGCTCCAGGCTGTTGGTGCTCCAGGCTGTGCCTGCTGGGAGGGCCAGAGGTAGGAAGCTGCAGCCTGCAGGGAGGTGCCCAAGGTCCCCCACTATCGCCACCAGCGTCACCCCTCCATGTCATCACCAGAAGGCATTATTCTTTGCTCTGGACAATGGGCATTTTATTGATCTTATGTAAAGTGTAGGTAAAAATGTCCCCAAGAAGCTCAGCATCTTAGTGCGGTTGGGCAGCCACACAAGGGCCCCTAGATGGCGGATTGAACAACAGAAACGTTTTCCCGTGGTTCTGAAGGCTGCAAGCCTGAGATCAAGGTGTCACAGGTGGGGTTCTTCTGAGGTCTCTCTCCTTGGCTTGTAGATGCCATCTTCTCCTCCCTGTGACCCAGGGAGTGTGTCTGGGTGTGTGAGTCTGTGTCCCTGGCTCTTTCTTTCTTTTTTCTTTTTCTTTTTCTTTTTTTTTTAACTAGGGATTGAACTCACAGGTTCTCTACCTCTGCGCTACATCCCTAACCCTTTTATTTTACTTTTAAAAAGACTTTTTACTTTTTTCTTTCGGCAGTACTGAGGATTGAATTCGGGGCCTGGAGCATGCTGGGGGAGTGCTCGGCCACTGAACTACATCCCAGATCCCTTTTCAATCCTTTATACCAGGGATTGAAGCCAGGGGCACTCAACCACTAAGCCCCATCCCCGGCCCTTATTTTGTGTTTATTTTGAGACAGGGCCACTGGATTACAGGTGCTTGCCACCTTGGCTGCACCTTAGTGAATTCTTAAAGACAAACTTTTAGTGCTTGCACTTTTACAAAGTAGCATGTTTGTCGTTGAAAAGAGATGGCTTGAAAAGAAGAAAAGGAAATCAAGGATGATCGGGGAACCTCCCCGAGATCATCAGTTAACATTTGGTTTTCTAGTTCTATCTTTAGCTTTTTCTGTGTCTTCATCTACATCTTAATCTCCATTTGTATAACTATGGACGTGAAAGATAAGATTACCTAGTGCCATTTCATAACTTCTTATCCATTACTCTATCTAGATCACTTCACAGGGCATGAAATCATTTTCTCTGAAGCTATTTCTAGCTGGGCAGAGGAGGAGAGGGCCCTGGGAGGGTCAACACTTCTACGGTTGAATACTTAGTTTCCTTTTTCCTTTTAGTTAAATCTTTGCTATGATTATTTACTAATGATAAATTCCTAGAAGTGAAATTTCTGAGTTGAAGAGAAAGCATTATTTAATGCACTTGAACTTTACATTTTGTTTTGTTTCTGTGGTGCTGGAGACTGAGGTCAGGGATGTTCTACACTGAACCGTATCCCCATCGCATTTTATGTTTTATTTTATTTACTTGTTTGGGATCAGGGATTGAACTCAGGGGCACTTGGCCACCGAGCCACATCCCCAGCCCTATTTTGTATTTTACTTAGAGACAGAATCTCACTGAGTTGCTTAGTGCCTTGCTTTTGCTGAGGCTGGCTTTGAACTCGAGAACCTCCTGCCTCTGCCTCCTGAGCCCCTGGGATTACAGGCGTGCTCTATTTTTTATTTTGAAACTGAGTCTTGCTAAATTGCTGAGACTGGCCTTGAACTTTCAAATTCCTGCCTCAGCTTCCCAAGTCACTGAGATGATAAGCATGCTTTAACACTGTCATACACCCACATCTCGAACTTTCTTCCATGAATGATAGTATCTTTTATACTATTCTGTTCTTTGTATTTTTCACTTAACAAATTATTCTGAAGAGTTTTCCAAGTCAGTAGTGCACAGAATTTCATTCTATGCATGTACCATAATATATCTACCTTGTCCCCAGTTGATGAACATGTAAGTTGTGTATTAGTCATAGATGGCTGTGTAACAAATTACCCCAAAACTTAGTAAAGCAAAACAACAGGAACTTATTTCCTCTTATGGTTTCTGCTGGTCATAAATCTGAGAAGGACCCAGCTAAACACTTGTCCCTGGTGGGCTTTTATGTGGCAGCAGCCAGGTGCAGTCAGAGGCTGCTGCCATCTGAAGGCTTACCTGGGACCAGAGGGTCCTTTTCTAAGGTGATTAGAAAGTGGGTGCTGGCTGCAGGCTGGGGCCTCAGCTCTGCTCTGCATGGGATCCTTCCCACAGAGCTGCCCAGGTGTCCCCAGGAGGTGGTGGCTGGCTTTCCCCAGTGCAAGCTGTCTCAGAGGCCCTGCCTTTCATAACCTAGCAATATGTTTGTCACCTCGGCTTCCTCTGTATTCTGTGGACTGTGGCAACTACAGAACTCTGTTCAGGTTCAAGGAGAGGAAATAGACCCTACCTCTCAGGGGAGGTGCCAACATCACCTTGTAAGAAGAGCATGGGGAGAGGGGCGCAGTGGCACACTCCCGTAATCCCAGCAACCTGGGGGGCTGAGGCAGGAGGATTGTGAGTTCAAAGCCAGCTTCAGCAACTTAGCAAGGCCCTGAGCAACTCAGTGAGACCCTGTCTCTAAACAAAAATATAAATTAAAAAGGGCTGGGGATGTGGCTCAGTGGTAAAGTGCCCCTGAGTTCAAGCCCCAGGACCAAAAATAAAAATAAAAAATAAGAAAAGAGCATGGGAAATGGAATACTTTGATGTTTCCATCTTTAGAAAGTACAATCTGCCATAGGTCATTTCCAATATTTTGCTTCCACTAAAAAAAAAATATTGCTGAGTACTGTGTGTGTGTGTGTGTGTGTTTGTGTGTGTGTTACTCGGAATTGAATTCAGAGGTGCTCTACCAGTGAGTCACATCCCCAGCCCTTTTTATTTTTTTTTAGACAGGATCTTGCTAAATTGCCAGGTGGCCTCAAACTTGCAATTGTCCTAACTCATCGTCTCTAGTACTGGGATAACAGGTGTGTACTCCCATGCATTTTTTTTTCTTTTCTTTTTTTTTTAGTACCAGGAATTGAAACCAGGAGCATTTTACTACTGAGCCACATCTCTAGTCCTTTAAATTTTAAAAAAATTGGAGACAGGATCTTGTTCAGTTGCTTAGGGCCTCACTAAGTTGCTGAGGCTGCCCTTGAACTTGGGATCCTCCTGCCTTGGCCTAGTGAGTTGCTGGGATTACGGGCGTGCACCACCACACCCAGCAGTAAGTACATTTTAAAGTGTTCACAGGCATTCCCAAGTTCCCTGTAGAAGGTTGTATTCATTTAGACTCCCACCAGCGGTGATTGAGAAATTTCATTTCTCCACATCTGTGTGTTTATCTATTAAAAATCTTTGCCAGTTCAATATTAAGAAGAGATATTGGGCTGGGGCTGGGGCTCAGTGGTAGAGTGCTCGCCTAGCACATGCAGGTGCTGGGTTTGATCCTCAGCACCACATAAAAATAAAATAAAGGTATCGTGCCCAACTACGACTAAAACAAAATATTTTAAAAAAAAAAAAGAGGGATATCTCTTTGTCTTAGGAAGATTCTAAGAAAGCGGGAGACCTGAATCTGAGCGTTGACATCTATATTAATTTGCTAGGGCTGCCCCTGCCACCAACGGGGGACCTTAAGCAACAGAAATTTATCTTCTCACATTTCTGGAGGTTGCAAGTCCAAGATCGAGGTGTCAGCAGACTGGTTTTCTCCCAAGGCCTCTTCTCTTGGCTGCTCAGTGGCGGCCTTACCAAGGTGCCCGCCCATGGCCTTTCCTTTACGGACATGAATCTTTGGTGTCTCTTCTTTTTTTGGCAGAGCTGGGGACCGAACCCAGAGGTGCTCAGGCTTTATCACCAACCTACATTCCAGGCATTTTATTCATTTTTGTTTTGTTTTTTGGTACTAAGGATTGAATCCAGGGGCACTTAACCACTGAGCCACATCTCCAGCCCTTTTTTTTATATTTTTCATTTACAGAAAGGATCTCACTGAGTTGCTTAGGGCCTTGCTAAGTTGCTGAGGCTGGCTTTGAACTTGTGCTCTTCCTGCCTTGGGTTCCAGAGCTGCTGGGATGACAGGCATGTGCCTCTGTGCCTGGTTAGAGGATGTAATTATTAATACATAAGAAGTTCTGAGTTGGCCTAACATGAGATAGAAAGATATCCTTTGTAGACTTGAGCAGGATGTGTATAGGGTAGAGGGATGTATCAGCTATTTATTGCTGTGTAACAAAACATTCCAGAACATAATAATTTAAAACAGCAGTTTAGGGCCTGGGGTTATAGCTCAATGGCAGACTGCTTGCCTTTCAGGTGTGAGGCACTGGGTTTGATCCTCAGCACCACATAAAAATAAATAAAAAACATAAAGGTATTGTGTCCATGTAAATATGAAAAATGAAAATAAAAACTTAAAAATAAATAAAACAGCATTTTTTTTATTCTTTGCAGTTCTGAGCAGTGGCTGGAGGGCTCCTCCGCTGGTCTCATTCCTGTAGCTACAGTCTGCTAATAAATTGGCTGGGCTGAGCCTTCTAGAATAGCCGGATGCCTGGGCCTCTGGCTCCCTGTGGTCTTTTGCAGGGTTTCTTTTCAGGATGAAGCATTCCAAAAGAGCAAACGCAGAAACCCAGCCTCAGAAGTTGCACAGCAGCCCATACAGTGATGCACGAAGATAATCCCAGCTGCTCAGGAGGCTGAGGCAGGAGGATTGTGAGTTCAAAGCCAGCCTCAGCAACTTAGCAAGGCACCAAGCAACTTGGTGAGATCCTGTCTCTAAATAAAGTACAAAATAGGGCTGGGGATGTGGCT